ATGTGTACAGATTATTTAAATCATCTCTAGATTACCTCTAATACATAATACAATGAAAATGCTATATAAATAGCCATTATACTGTAATGTTAGGAAATAATGTCAAGAAAAAATGTTCAATACAGATGCAATTTTCCCCAAAATATTTTTACTCCATAATTCTTTGAATCTGGGGACATGAAATCTATAGATATGGAAGGCTGATAGGGTTTTTTTTCTCTTTTTTCCTGTACAGGGGATAAGACCTAGGGACTCTCACTACTGAGTTACACCCCCAGGAGTGAGTTTGTTTGGTTGGTACTGGGGATTGAACCCAGGGRTGCTTTACYACTGAGCTACATCCCCAGTCCTTTCTATTTGTCATTTTGAGACAGGGTCTCACTAAGTTACTGAGGGTCTTGGAAAGTTACCCAGGCTGGCCTTGAACTTTCAATCCTTCCCTGAGTYKCTRGGATTATAGGCATRTACCACCACTACCAGTAGGCTAGGACTATACCTTGTCTTCTTAACTTCTTTAAAAGTTGATGATTTATTTACTTAYTTATTTGGGGGTATTTGAGACTGAACCCAGGACCTTGCACATGCTAGGCAAGTGCTCTACCACTGAGCTAGATTCYCAGTCTTTCTTATTTTATTTTGAGAAAGGATCTCACTAAGTTACCCAGACTGGCCTCAAACTTGCAGTCCTCCTGCCTCAGTCTCTTGAGTGGCTGGGAATACAGGTGTGTGCCATCACACCCAGCTCTCAACTGGCTACTTAAAACAATATACTAATGTTGGGCTCGAGGTGCAACTCAGTGGTAGAGCACTTGCCGAGCATGTGCAAGGTCCGGGGTCTGATCCTCAGCATTGCCAAGAAAAAAAATAACGTATCAGGGTTTATAACAAAAGTAGAAGTACAATACAGAGCATCAATAGCACAAAGGAAAACAGGAGGTGAAAACAGAATTATCTATCTTTAACATGCCTACTTACACATGAAGTGCAACGGTATGAATTCAAGTAAATTGTGACATGACAAGGGCACATATAATGACACATATTGTTATTCTTAAAGCAATTGTGAAAATAGTCACATAAACAGTCATTGTTAAAAAGTTATTAGTGGGCTGGGTTGTGGCTCAGTGGCAGAGCACTTGCCTCCCACRCATGAAGTCTGGGTTTGATCCTCAGCACCACATTAAGTAAGTAAGTAAACAAATAAATAAATAAAGATATTGTGTCCATCTACAACTAAAAAAAAAAATAAATAAGTTATTAGTGGGCTGGGCTGAAGCTCAACCGCAGAGCACTTGCCTAACATGTGTGAGGTACTGGGTTCAATCCTCAGTACCACACACACACACACACACACACACCAAAAAAACAAATAAAATCAAGGTATGGTGTCCATCTATAACTAATAAAAATATTTTAGTGAAGGTAAAATGAAATCTTTAAACGTACTCAGTCCAGAAGAAAGAAATAATAGAAAGGGGAAGAGAAACAAAGAACAAATGGGATAAATAGGGCAAAAACTTAAACAGAATCCTATCAATAATTATGCATATTATTAAATAGAAATGAATGAAAAGTCCTACTTTTGAAAAAAGCAAGACTCAAGATACATGCTGTTTATAAGAGAAGCACTTTAAATACAAAGGCATRGACTGCACTGATGCATTCAGTGGCGCACACCTGTCATCCCAGTGGCTTGGGAGGCTGAGGCAGGAGGATCTTGAGTTCAAAGTCAGATTCAGCAACTTATCGAGGCCCTAAGCAATTCGTGAGACCCTGTCTCTAAATAAAAAAGAAAAAGACTGGGGATCTGGCTCAGTGGTCAAGTGCTCCTAGGCTAGATCAAAAAAGATGCACCACGTAAACACCAAGCATTAGAACGCTGACGTAGCTACTTAATAGTAGGCAAAGTAGAATTCAAGACAAGAAGTATTATCAGAGATAAAGATATTACTTCCATAAAGATAAAAAGGCCAAGGAAACACTGAAATCCAAAACATGTAGGTGCCTAATAACAAAGATTCAAAATACAAAGAGCAGAAATTGAATGAATTACAGGGAGAAAAGGACAAATGTATAATCAGAGTTTGGACAGACTGGAAGTACAAAAAGAGTCAAAAAGATGTGCAGGGAAAGAGAACAAGAAAGAGTCCTGAACAGCCAGAGTGAAGTCTGAAGCCTGATTCTACAAGGATGACAGGTCCCAGAGTCGGGGAGCGACCCAGAGAATGGAGCTGCCTGGTCCAGACAGGAAGGTCAGAGGCCGTGGCTGCAAGGGCTGGGCCCAGAGCAGGGGTGCGGCCTACGGGATCCTGGGGGGTGCTTATAGGGCAGATATTGTCATTTACCTGCTGCCCCGTGAAGCCTTGGGGGCCAGGCTCCCCACGTAGTCCCTGTAGAGGAGGAAGAGAGACTGAAGTTAGCTGTCAGGGGCTCTGACCTAGGGCCCTTGGACCCCCAGAATCCCCACCTGAGGCCATGTGGGTACTCACTCTCTCGCCCTTCTCTCCTGGATTGCCAGGGACTCCTTTGGGTCCAGTGGGGCCTTGAGGTCCCTGAGCAATAAGACAGGGCCTCAGTTTTGTGGGGGGTAGGAGGGAATGGGCAGGGGCTTGGGAGCAGAGGGATCAGGGAGGGAAACCCCAGCCCAGCCTGGGCCTCACCCTACACCCAAAACAATGGGCAGTTAATAGAGCTCAGTGTTAAAAAAATCTGGCCCCGGAGACCGTCAGTCCCCACGCCACCTGCAGATGTTGCCATATGCTGGCCACAGCCCTAGGACAAGGATCTCCACTTTTCTCAGCCTTAGGTGACAACCATCCTTGCTTTTTATTGCCTTAGAAAATTTATGAAAAGTAGCTTGTGCATCAAATGCTTGGTAAGTGCTTGTTGAAAGAATGAATTACARGAAGGACAAACAGATGGATGGATGGATGGGTGGGAACATGGGTGGGGACACTCGGAGAAGGACTCACCATGTGTCCAGGACTCCCGGGGACACCTGTGGGACCAGGAGGTCCAGGGGGACCTGGAATCAGACAGGATGTCCTCAGGAATAGAACAGAGTACAATGCCATCAACTTCCCCCTGGTAGCCACAGCCCCAGTCCCACTGCCATTTACAATCCCATCCYGTATGCCAGGCCTGGACGCAACTTACCCATGGGCCCTGGAAGACCAGGGGGACCTGGGGGTCCCTGGGGCCAGTGGCTGCTAGTCTCAGTGAAGGTGTTGGAATGTAATGGGTCCCCTGAGAGAGGAGAGATGATGAATGAGCAGAGCTGTGTCACCCTGCCACCTCTGCCAAGTCAGCTCTGATGGACCAATGGGGCACCGGCAGCACAGACGTGCCAATGGGCACCTGCTCCCAGGGTGAGAAGTAAGGAATGTGGGCCACGAAGGACCAGAGGCAGGGAGCCCTGGGTCTGACCTACTGCATTCCAGCTGGTAACGTCCAGAAAGACTCTTGGCTTTGCTGAGCCCGGACTGTTACTTGTCAAACGGGACTCATCCTAAAAGATCCTGTTTATTGACAACCTACTATGTCCCTGGCTTCTGTGCACAGGTATCCTAAGAGTTCTGGGAGGTTGCCACAGGGAAGCTGAGAGGTAGAATAGGTAGTGAGTGAGTACCAGATGACTAACGGGGAGAATGAATGAATGAACGGGGCCCAGCCACACCTCTGGACCATGACAGAGATGGGGATGGGCCTGGCTCTCCGTGCTCTGACCCTGGAAGCACAGGTGTGGGTCGGGSTGGGCTCCAGAGGAGGCGGCCAGGGATCCACATCAGGACCCAGCCTGGAGGGGAAGCTGGGGCCTCTCCCAGCACAGGGCCAGCACCGTGGCCTTGGGAGTCTCAGAGCTCTCTTCCTGCTGTTGGCCTTGGACTTCTTGGTGCTCTGGAGGGCTGGACTCCGGCCAGCTCCAAGGCTCAGGAAGGGCCTGCTGCCTGTGGCCCTGCACCTAGATCTGAAGTCATTCCCCCCATGTCCCAGCTGTGTGTTCAAAGCAGGTGACCTCCTTTCTCTGGCCCTCAGTGTCCCTCCTCTGTGACCAGATGGGGACCACTGGGGACCTGCAGACAACCTGGCACAGGCAAGGTGTAAGTAGTGGGCACCACGGCAATAGTCATCAGCCTCGTCACCCCCGCGTCAACCTGCCCAGACCCCGGGGGACTCACCGTGCTGGGAGATCCTGGCCTGGGATGGCCCAACAGGGGCTGGGGGTCCCGGGGGACCAGGGGGCCCTGGTGGTCCTGGAGGTCCCCTCTCTCCAGGGGTTCCCACAGCTCCAGCCCGGCCAGGGCTCCCTGGGGGGCCCTGGGGACCTGCAATGAGATGGCAGGGGTTGGTAGGTGGACAGTAGGCAGGGGGTGTGGCCTCAAGAGTGGCAGGTTGGCAGCCCGGGCAGCTGGCACAGCAGGGCTTGGAGCCCGAGGTCTGCCCTCCCTGGCTCTCTGTTAGGGGCATGGACATAGCACTTGCATCCCCTCCAGAATGACCTGGGTTTCCTCATCAGGGCTCCCAGGTCCCCAGGTTTCCCTAGGGACCCTGGTCACGGGGTGGGGACTAGTATTTCTCCTCTGTCTGGCCCCTTCTCCCACTGGTCTGGGGGCTCCCGGAGGGCAGGGACTGGGTAACCTCACCCGATGCCCAGCTCAGACCCTGGCGAGTGCAAGTACCAAAGATCAGCAGAGTAGCCAAGACTGGGCTTCAGAGGGCCAGGCGTGAGCCTCACTGTCCCTGGAGGGCTGGCGGGTGGACAGCCAATGGGTAGAAGGGACCAGGCCACCCTGGCTGAGTCAGAGCCAGCAAGAAGGCCCAGCCTGGGTCCACCCAGCCCGAGGGATGGTCTAGAACGCGGGGGACTTTGGTGGCATGGTGGGTGCTTACCTGGTGGGCCTCTCATCCCTGTGGGGCCCTGGCTGCCAGCATCTCCTTTGGGACCGGTAGGCCCAGGCAGCCCCCGAGGACCCCCTAGGTCTGGGGAGTAAAGAACATTAGGTTGGCAGCTCTACTTGCTCTTGGCCCTCACTGTGGCCCTGAGCCCCGGGCAGCACCTACCATGTTGAGGGAGCGGCAGGGYCCTCATGCTCTCTCTGGTTCCAGGTAGCCCTGGTGTGAGAGGGGAAGGCAGGGGTCAGTGGCCCTGCTGGGTGGGGGAYAAGGAGAGTCATCCAGGGTCCCCGTCACCATCTCCATCCAGGCAGGATCTGCTGGGGGGCTCTCAGCTTCCTAGGACTCCAGAGCTTCAGAGCCCCTGAGACCACCCCCAGGGTCTAGAGGGCTAAGGTCCACCACAGGTCACGTAGGGCACAGCAAGGGTGCCACCAGAACCTCAGCCTCTGATTCCCACGCAGGCGCGCATTCCCTGCCTGATCCACTCACCCTGCAGGCCTCCATCTCCAGGGCTGCCCTGGGCAGCTGGGGAGCCCCAGAGTGGAGAAGGGTCCTCAGGGGTAGYCGGCGTTGAGGGCACTGCCCGCCCTGGGACAGTCAGCACAGCCACCTGTGGAGAGGGAAGAGAGGAGGGGGGACTCCAGGGACTCTCCAGGCACAGACCAGCGGGGGGGCCCTGTGGGGTGCGGAGACCCCGGCTCCTAGGGGCCCAGAGCTTCATGACAAGCATCTGTGTTTAAAATGGACGATTCACAACATGCACGGCAGGAAAGTCGTCACACATCGTCACGGCCACCCAATGGGGCTCAGTGYTTGTGGTGCTTGCTGACCAAGCAGTTTTTTTCTATGTTAATCTCCATAAATAATATGACGCTTGTCATATCTGCTGAAACTGCACCGGGGTTTGAAGAGTTTTGCTTTTTTTTTTTTTTTTTGGTGCTGGGGATTGAGCCCAGCCTTCGGGTGTGCTAAGCACTGTCTCTACCATCAGGAGTGTTGCTAAATCTGCAGGGAAGTTTGGAAGGGTCTGACATAAAATACCAAATCCACTTTGGGGACCAGRGTGAAGACAACTCTGGAACATCACTGGTACCCTGAGCCACTGACTGCGGGACTATGTGGGGCTGTCCTCATAGCAGCTCCTGTAAGCATGCAGCTACTACTCCTCTGGCCCCTGGTTCTCTAATTTCCCAACTGTAGGGAAACATGTTCACATCTCCACAAGATGAAGTTCCAGAGGAGGGAACAGTGGAGCAAAGAATATACAAGGAGACACACGTCTACTTTGTATGTCCAGAAAATCTGGAAGGAGCCGGCACCGTGGCACAGCCTGTAACTCCAGCCACTCGGGAGGCTGAGTCAGGAGGATCACAAGTCCAAGGCCAGTCTCAGTAACTTAGTGAGGCCCTAAGCAACTTAGCAAGACCCTGACTCAAAAGAAAAAAATAAAAAGGGCTGGGGATATGGCTCAGTGGTGAATCGCCCCTGGGTTAAATTCTCCACCACCACCCCCAGAAAAAAAACTGGAAAGAAAAATGATTAAAAAGTGACAGTATATACTGTAGTCCTGACCACTCAGGGAGCTTGCTGAAGCCCAGGAGTTACCAACCTGGGCGTAAGAACCAGGCTGAGTCATTAAAAAAAAAAAAGGCCCACATTTCTGAGTCTTTCTTTAGAATCTTTGTTTCCTATTCTAAGATTTTTAAAGAGTTTTAATCTCAAAATAATGGTGTAGTAGGTGTTTTGCTTTTGAAGTTGGAGGATGGGATCGTGGGGGTGGTAAAGGAGGTGGGGGCAAGGAGGGGATCCTGCAGCCGGCCCAGTGTCTGCGCTTATCTGGTGGGCACTGGGCAGCCTGGGGGGGGGGGGGCCTCACGACTTCCCGGAGGAAGAGAGGGCTTCCTGGGGACAGCACCCAGCACAAGCGAGGAGCTGGGGGGAACCAATGGCCGGCTGTGGCAGGGACCGGAAAGTGCTGCCTGGTCTGCGGGGAGCCCTGTGGAAGGTCAGAGCTGCAGGCTGGACATGGGGGTACAGGAAGGGCCAGGGGCCCTCGGGCTGGGGGTCAGCAGGGAGCTGCTCACCCACCTTGGCCTCCAGCACCTTCAGCCTCGCGGTCAGCTCGGACACTCTGCTGCAGTTGAGACAACCTGTGAGGGGGAGGAGGCTGGGGCTGGGTCCTGGGGTTCCAGGTTCTCCCTCTTTAAGAGCCCTGAGCCCCGGGGACAAAGGAGGGAGGAGACAGACCCCAACCTAGGAGGAATTCCGGTGGGGGGAGGGGTTACAGACTCTCCCCAGTCCCAGGATAGGTTAGACCATCCCCAAGGGATTCCTTCAACTCTGGAGCCTCCAAAGTGGACCTGTTTCTCCCAGGGCAGGGTGGGAGGTCTGGTCCAAAATGACCCTTTTCCCAGAAGCCAGGGCAGGAAATGCTGTTGTTTCTTGCTGGGTGGGGCTGGGACATGGACCTGCCAGCTTTGGGGACGCCAGCATCACAGTCTAGACRGGGCTGGCCCCAGAGGCACCACCCTCTGACTCTCTCACAGGACCAGTCCAGTTCCTCCAGACCCCTTAGCAAGACACCTAAGTCACTCCCAACAGCTGTGGCCTCATCTGGAGATTTGCAAGTTYGGCTCCTTCGGAGGAGCCCAGCGAGGTGCAGCCAGTGCCCAACAAGCACAGCACAGCGGTCCCACGCCCAGTGCTGCCCCCTGGTGGCTGCAGGACATGGGGCAGGACAGGGCAGGGCTCCTCTCTGGTCTGTTTCCCCCTCTTTAAAATGGGAAGACAAGCTCTTGGGAGTGGGTGTGCACAGCTGTGGGGTTTRAACGAGCTGGTGACAGAAAGCACTGGCTCAGGGACTTGCTCACTGAAGATGGTCAGAAAAGAAGARGAGACTGGGGGCCTGGACCTGCATCCACAGGAGCCCAGGGGTCACGGTCTCAGGGTGCCTGGGCTCCCTCCTCTTCCCCTGGAGGCTCTTTCTAGCCTGCCCTTGACCCTCCACTGTGGGACAGCCGGCTTTTAGGGCAATTGCCCCACTGCCCTGGCTTCCCTCTTGGCCTCACCCCCGTGATCGCCCCAGAACTCACCTGCGCCCCCATGGTCGCCCCAGAACTCACCTGCGAAGGCTGCGGGCTGAAGCGCCATCCGCCGCACCGTGCTGCCCGCCCACGTGGGCTCCCTGAAGCCAGAGGTGCCTGCAACTGAGGAACGGGGGGGGGGGAGGACCCCGTTGGCCTGTGCCATCCTTGCCTTGGCACATGCCCCTGCCCACCACCGTATCCCAGCAGAGATTCCTACTCCCTGAGAGATAGAGAGGCCCAGGGAGGTGGAGGTATTTCCCCGGGTGACACAGCCCAGCTGGAACTGACTGACCACTTGATGGGCTGGTGAGAGGAGCTGGCAGTGGGGTGAGGATGAGGCTGGGCTTCCCCAGCAACCTCAGGGGGCTACAAGGGTTAAGTTAGAAGCTATGGAGACAGGCGTGGTGACACGCAGGAATCCCAGCGGCTGGGGAGGCTGAGGCAGGAGGATCGAGAGTTCAAAGCCAGCCTCGGCAGCTTACCAAGGCCCTGTCTCAAAATAGAAAATAAAGGGGGCTGGGGATGTGGCTCAGTGGTTGCAGGCCCCTGGGTTCAATCCTTGGTACCAAAAAAAAAAGGGGGGGGAATAGGGAGTTGGAGTTATCAAAGCTTGGGTTCCTGCCCCACCGCTTACTGACCTGGGTGACATCCTCTCTGGACCTGCCTACTTTCCCATCTGTAAAATGGGACCCTAAGCCCTCTGTCCCTCCCAGTCTGGTGTGAGGCCTGCGGATGGCGATAGGTGTAAAGAACTCACTGTTCACACACAGAGACACTCAGTAAACTGGGCTGTGACCGTTGCTCTCTTGCCCTGGCCCTCTAGTCAGGAGGCTGAAGGAGATCCAGCTCTGGCTTCAAATGAAAACCAGAGGGCGGCTGGCCCTGGTTCCAGGAGCCCACCCCTGCGGCAGCCGCTGGCCTGGCTTTGGGGGCTTGGTTTTCAGCACAGYTGGAGGGACGGGCTGGCCAAGCCAGGGGCGAAGGGCACAGCTGGAGGGCTCTCTATGGAGCAGTGGCGAGAGCCCCCCTGCCCAGGGGCCTGCCTTTTAAGGCTGTGCAGTGTTGTTGGGGGGTGTGCAGGGGGGACAGGACCCAAATAAGGCGCGGGCTTGGCAGCTGAGACCTGGGCTGTGGGTTGAGGCAGGAGCAAGAGGCGCCGGGAACTGGAACCAGACGGGTCCCTCTGGCCAGCCCCCAGCGGGGAGGCTGCCAGCCTTGCTCTGGGTCCCACCATGAGGCCCTCACTCAGGCTGAGCCGCTTCCCTCAGCACACGGTCCCCAAGGGCCTACAGCTTGCCTGGGTGCAGGGGCAAATCGCCCCAGTCCTACCAGCCCAGGACAGGGACAGGGACTGGGGGCCCTCTGGGCAGGGGAGTGCCCTGGTGCTAGGTGCTTCTTACTCCAGCCCAGTCTTGGTGAGCACGTACTCCCAATCAGCTCTGGTACTTCTAAGCCCTTCCCGTATATATATCTGGCTATTTCATTTTTTGCAAACGTGCTGGGGCCGTATAGTCTTCACAGATGGAGAGGCTGTACGTGCAACAGATGAATGGGTGACCGAGGCTCTTCTTTTTCTATTGAAGGGGCACTCGACCACTGAGCCCCATCCCCAACCCTTTTTTTGTATTTTATTTAGAGACAGGGTCTCACTGAGTTACTTAGGGCCTCGATAAGTTGCTGAGGCTGGTTTTGAACTCACGATCCTCCTGCCTCAGCCTCCCCAGCCGCTGGGATGACAGGCCACCACACCTGGCTAGAGACTCTTCCTCTCTTTTCCCTTAGAAGGAAACCAAGGCTGAGAAATGAAGTGGCTCTCTCATTCCCCTGTAGTTCTCCAGCCTGGACCCGAACCCAGGTAGGTCTGACTCCAGGGCCTGACTTTTTTTTTTTCAGGGGGGCTCCTAGGCAGGGTGGCCCAGTGTCCCAGTGATGCCTGAGAGAAACAGTCTTGCCAAGCCTGCTTCACCCCTTCTGCTCCCAGGTAAAGATGCAAAATACGGGRCTGGGGTTGTGGCTCAGTGGTAGAACGCACACTTAGCACGGGCGAGGCCCTGGGTTCAATCCTCGGCACCACATAAAAATAAATAAATAAACTAAAGGTATTGTGTCCAAACACAACTAAAAAATAAATATTAAAAAAAGATGCAAAATATTATCTTATTACTCTGTGCAGAAACTTGACCCAAAGCAGCTGCTAGTGTCCCCCACCCCCCACCCCCCCCAGCGCTTTCCACATGTCATTGACTGGACCAGTTTCCCAGCTGATCGCCAATCGTCTGCCCCTCTGACCAGAACACCATCCCCACCGCGGCAGGGACCTGGTCTGCCCTGGGTCCRGTGCCTGGCACTCAGCAGGACCTCAGGGGCCTCAGGGAGACTTCTGTTGATTAGTGCACGGAGCAAGGGCTGAAAACCAATTTCAAGGACGCCAACAAAAAGGAGGCACACGATGTGACCAGCAGACACAGCYGCCTCGGAGAGGAGCATAAACGTCCTCAGGTCCCGGGACAGTGTCCCCCCATTATTCGTCGGCGGACTTGTGGCTGGAAATCCTTTCCCAACCGATTTTGTTTGGGGACATTTCTCCAGGAATCAGAGAGAACTAGAAAAACGAACAGAAAGACAGTGGGCGCCATCAGGGCCCACGGACCGGGAGGCTCCAACTAACTGTGACTTCAATTAGAAAAGAAGGTGCGGGGCTGGGGACGCGCTCAGCGCCAGGAAGTTCATCCCGCACACACTGCACCGAGGGCCTAGGACCGTGAAGAAAAGCAGACCAAACCCGGGAAATGTTCATTCTGGATTCAGGATTTCTAAAAATTAGCCCCCAAGACCCCCCAGTTCTGATAAACACATGGGAGCACTTCAGAAGATGTATCAGGTGGTCAAAGGCGCTTCGGCACAGAAATTCCAGGAAGGAAGCCACGGTGGGTTGGGGACAAGAGGGCCACAGCCCTCCTTGGTGTTTGGCCAGGGACCCTGAGGCAGGCCTAGGTGGGCAGACAGCCCCTCATCCAGACCTGGGGGTCCGTCCTTCTCAGGTCCTTCCTTGCCATCCCAGGAGGACCCTGAAGGTTGGTCCCAGAGCCACAGACCTGAGCTCCACTCCAGAGCGCGACCCACCACTCGGGAGGTCCCAACTGCCATCCCCTACACTCCCATGTACACTGTGCCCTTCCCCAACTCCTACAGCGGGGGCTCCCGTGTCACCTCCTCCAGGAAGCCCTCCTGGATGTTCCAGGGCACTCACCAGTACCAAAGTGCCCACTGAAGTGCYGGCACTCCCTGCCTTGACCCCCACAAGGCCTGTGCCCTCTGCAGCTTCTAATCTGGCCCCCTAGTTGGGACACGGAGGTCCCCAGACAACCCCTCATCCTTCCACCCAGTGCCAAGGCTATGTCCCTTCTCATGGGATCCTCATGACACCCTGTGATACAGGTGAGAACCGTGAGGCCCCGGGGCAGCTGCTGGCCCTGTCCACGCAGCAGGATGAGGACGGCTRGGATTCCAAGCCGGCCCCAAATTGGAAATGGGCGTGTGAGAACCTGGGGGTCCCTAGACTCTGCCCCTGTGACTTTCTCCCCAGGAGAGGATTCAGGGGAGGGGCTCCCTCATTCTCCTCTGACCCCCACCCCCAGGTCTGCACAGTTCAGTGGCCACAGGTCACAGGGATGCAGCGCCCCAGCGCCCCCAGGTCTGTGGGAATTTACTTTGCAAATGTAAATATTTGCTCCCTGCCAGCTGGTGGCCGAAAAGAGGAGTCAGGGTCAGAGCCGGAGCAGGAGGTCCAGGAATCCTCGGGCCAGACCAGGGGGCCTCTGGGAAGGCCTGGCTCCCTCTTKGGGAGGGTGAAGTGTCCGTCCAGTCTGCGGGTGCTCACTTTGCTATGTTCTGGTACCGGGGATTGAAGGCCCTTCACCACCCAGCCCCAGCCCCAGCCCTTGACTGTATTTTGTTTACAGACAGGGCCTCAGTCTCACTCTGCTACTTAGGCGGGCCTTGAACTTTTGGTCCTCCTGCCTCAGCCTCCTGAGCTGCTGGGATGACAGGCGTGCGCCACGGCACCTGTCCGTGGATACTCATTTTATGCCACGTCCACAGCTGAGTGGGGTTAGACCCGCGTGGGCAGAGGGTCAGATGGGGGGGGTGGAGCTGGGTTGTGATGGGGAAGCCAAGAGCAGGATGGGCCGTTGGGGAGGCGGGGAGGCAGGGAGGCCGAGCCTTCCAGACAGGAATGGGGGTGCATGAAGTGGTTAGCCCTCAGGGTTCTGAGTCTGCAGAGAAAACACAGCCTGGCTCTGTCCCTGCCCCTGGCTGGGAGGTCCCCAGCCCCAGAGGCCAAAGGGTCCCCAGAAGGAGAATGGGACCTCCCYCACTTTTGCTCTGAGGCTTGAGACCGTGCGATCTTAGGCAAATGTCCCTTCTCTGGTTCCCCGAGATGGAGGCCGTGAGGGACACGGGCACGTAGGCTGCGGACCACGGGACGGGGAAGCAGAGCAGCTCAGCTCCAGGGTCCCATGGAAGGGCAGGGTGAGCCCCCAGCCTCTCCAACCTTCTATCTGGGAGATGCTGGGCGGAGACTGGATTCGGTCAGTGTCACAGCACCCCAGGTTGTCTGAACACACCCCCTGGGGTGTCCTCAGGGAAAGAGCCCAACTGGAGCCCTGCTGGCTGGCTTTGAACCCAGCTCCTGGGCTCACAGCTGCTGCCCTGGGCACAGCCTTCCCTTCTCAGAGCCTCACTTTTACACCTTTTACACCTGGGCCTTCTGTGCCATGACAGGATGGCACAATGGAGGTGAGTAAGCACTCAAGTGCCTGTCACCAGCCTTTGTCATTAGTAATTGTAGGAGCCCATCAGAGTCCTGGGGAGAAATCTGGCCACAATGCTCACTTGCTGTGTGACCTTATGTGAGGCCAGCACCCTCTCTGAGTCTCATTTTAATCATCTGGAAGGTGGGGCTGCTAGGCAAGAGAGTGCCCAGAGGCAGGGTGACTCGGGAGAGGTTGCAGCAGTCCCACCCTCAGCAGAGTCCTGGGCCCAGGTCCAGGGAAGGTGATAGTTGGGCTCTGCCTTCAAGACAGGCCTGTGTCTGCCCCGCCCTGCTTTATGGTATACTCTGGCCTTGGCCCTTTCTCTTCCATTGTTTCCATGAATAGGCATTCATGTGAGAGTCTCGGCCAGGTCCCTCCCAGTCCCACGCCCCCTCCTGAGGCCTGGAGGAATGAATGGTCAGCCGTCTCCATCCTGCCTCTTGCGTGCTGAGTGACCCCAGGTCAGTTCCTTCACTTCTTTGAGTCTCAGGTTCCCTACCTGTAATAGGGGGCCTGCCCCATCCTCACGGGACATCATGACCCTCAAAGGAGACACCATCACTCACTGTCAGAGTGCCCCTCCCGTCCTGCAGATAAGAATCAGGGCTAAGTGGGGGGGGGGGAGTGCTTCCTGGAACCCGCCAGCCTCACAGCCAAGTCTGGAGACATGAGGCATGTCTGCTGAGCCTCCATGGGAGGCAGGGCCGTCTGCCAGGTCACCACAGAATCCCCAGCACTGGGGTCAGAAGGAGAAAGGAGGACATTTATGGGTCACCTACTGGATGCCAGGCATGACTGCCCACTTGTCAATTCCAGGTGACTTACAGATGAAGCCAAGGTTCAGAGAGGTAAGTGAGATGCCTCAGGTCACACAGCACCATGCAACACAATGCAGATACAGGACTGGCTTCTGGAATGACACGTGTGTCTCCCCTCCTTTGTGGCCCATCCCAGGTGTCCCTGGACCCTGTAGCCCCTGGTGACGCAGATCTGTGGTTCCAGGGTSAGGTTACAGCAATAAGTAGGCCACAAGGGCAGCCACCAGCAGGAAAGGAGCTGGGGGAGTCCAGCTTGGATCCAGGTGCAGCAGAGCCTGGGATGGGCCAGCAACGACCCCATGCTTCCACTACCCAGGGCTTCATGAGCCCAGTTTTCTAGAATATTCAGGCCTAGGCAACCCCTGGCGGGCTTCCCTTTCCTTAGCGCCAACCTGTGGGTGGGGAGAGGCCCCGCCCATCCTGTCAATCATCGAGCAGAGGCCCCGCCCATCCTGTCAATCACCGTGCACCTCCCGGGGCGGGGCATCTTCACTGCCTCATTCCATCCCAGCAACTCCCTGGGAAGCAGACGCCACCGGTGAGGGTGCCGAGGCTCGGGTGGGGGACCCCAGGCTGCTGCTAGTGCACACTGTGGCCTGGGGACCTTCCAGGAAGGCACCCCTCCCTCTGAGTGGGCACGGGAGGAATGTCCCAGCCAGCGCTCTTGCACAACTGCACCAAGATGAGCGGGGAGTCCCCCGCCCAAGGCCACTCAGCTGGCGTGTGGCAGAGCTGGCCTGGCCCGCGAAACTCTGGATGATCCTGTCCCTTGGCTTGGGCCTGAGGCCCTGCAGAAGCAATGGTAGACATCAGGGGTGGCCTGGCCCCAGGGCAGCCCTGGCCCCTGGACACATGGTATCCAGCAGCTGGAGTCAAGGGAACTGACTTTGCCCCCACCTGCCCTCTGCCTTCCAGGAAGGGCCCGGAGACTGGGAAGGTCTGCCCTTGGGAAAGGAGCCAGGGACAAAGTGGCCTTTGTCTGGGGCRGATTCTGCCTGGCACAGGCCCTCCGGCGGCGGGGCCTCCTCTCCACACCTGGGGAGTTCGCCCACAGCTCCCCTGTGGCCTTCTGGGCAGCTGCCACCCCTGGCTGGTCCTTTGTCCCTTGAGCCCTCTGCCTTCCCCTCTTTCTCCCACTAGGATGGGCCACAAAGGAAGGGAAACACACGTGTCATTCCAGAAGCCTGCCCCTGGCCTCCCACACTAGCACACGACTGGGGCTCCCTCTTCCTCTGGCCACCCTGTTCTTCCCCAACTCCCTGGGGACTCCCGTCACCCCAAAACCACCAAACCGCCTCCCTTCTCCACTTCTCCCCATCCTCTAGGACCGAGGACTGAACCCAGGGACACTCGAGCACTGAGTTACATCTCCAGCCCTTTTTTATTTTGAGACAGGGCCTCCCTAAGTTGCTGAGGCTGGCCTTGAACTTGGAATTCTCCTGCTGCAGCCTCCTGAGCTGCTGGGATTACAGGCCTGCATCGCCACTCAGGCCTGGCCCTGGCCCGCTTCTTGGAGAGTTCTGTCCCCGCCTCATTCCTGTGCAACTCTGGGCTCTCAACTCTGCCTCTCTGGGCCTCAGTCACCCCATTTGTGAACWGGGCTACCCTCGTAGCAGCACAGATGAGCAACAGCACGTGGGCACCACGCTCAGGGACCATACTCCACATRTCTCTGCTTCTTGAATTGGGACACATTATACAACTGACGGCCACATTCCTGTGCTGCYGGGGCCCTGGATGCACCTTCCCTCGAGGTGCCTATGGGCCGGGTCCTTGGGTTGGCCCAAGGCCAGTCCATTCCATTTCGSGCTGTGCTTGGGAACTCAGCTCTTGGTGCTCCCACATCTGCTGCTTGTGGGGTCAGCCAGGCCKCAAGAGCTCCCCAGGGGGCAGTGTGTGTGGTCATTTTCCAGGACAGAGCTGGCCCCAAGCCACCAACCTGCACTCAGACAGAGTGGGGGGGAGGGRCTCCTCTGCACAGGACACGCTCTCGCACCCAGGGGCCATCCCGAGTCTCTGAGGGAGTGCGGCAGGTGGGCAGGGTCTGAATCCCAACCCTGACACATAGGGACTGAGTGTCAAGCACCTCCCCGAGCCTGTCTCTTCTCTGCAGGGCGGGATCAGCATCCCTCCCTCTCTGACCCACTGACTAGAGTGACCCTCTGCTTCCAGGTGAAGCTCGTTCCCATGTCCTGGGAAATATCTGGATGGGCTTCCCCCAGTACTAGCATCTGGATCTGGCGTGTCCTCCAAAGGCCCAGGTGTTAAAGGCAAGTGGTGGACCTTGGAGAGGTGGAGCCTGGTGTGAGGTCTTGAAAGGGACAGAGTGATCCTGACCCCTCCTTGCTTTTATTTGTTTGTTTTCTGGCCTCAAGGCATGCACCTGTCATGATGGGCTGCCTCGCCAGAGGCCCAAAGCCACATAGGCCAACTGGATGTGAGGCAATAAAAACCTTTTACTGTGTAAGTGGGTCATCTCAGATGCTTTCTTATAGTGCRGGAAAGCTGACTCATACACCAAGTTTGAGAGGAACACTTGGGATGACGTGACTTAAGATGTGAGTGACACAACATGTCATGAAATTTTTCCAGGGACCTTGAGCATCTTCCAAGAGGCAAGCAGTCACTGTGAGGGGTTCAGCAGGCCCCAAATATGTCTGGGCAGTACCCCATCCAGAGCTCTGTGCAGCAGGCTCTTCTGGGCATGGTGTCGTGCGTGGGCGCTGTCTGACTTAGCAACTGTTTAATGCTCCCATGCACCCAGGGGACCTGCTTGGCCGCTGTCACAGGGCCCCAAGCAGCAGGCAGGCAGTCCTACCTTCCTCGCAGCTCACTCCYGAATGCCCAGGGCAGCATCTCCACTCTCGGGCAGTCACTGTCTTGTACAACACCTTGTAGGTGGGCCTCACGACCGTTCTGTAGCTGAAAGAGTGTCCAGGAGGCCTGGTTCACAGGGGTCCCCCCACTGCCATCCCCACTGCCCTGAGAMCCACAGGGACAAAGCCAGATCCTCCAGACCCTCTGCCACCTCCAGGGCCCTTTGGAGTCTCTCCCCTGCAGGTGGGAAGGCAGGTGCATGGCGATCCTCCCCAGGAAGCCCTCCAGGGTTTCCTCCTGGTGCTAGGCCACCTTTGCTCCCCCACCAGGCCTTGGCCCTCCAGGAAAGCCATCCACTCTTCCACATGTCCTCTCTTACCTGCTCCCCGGGCAGCTCATGGGCCAGGGGCAGTTCTGCAGCACTCGCTGAAGGTAGGTGCCATTTTGCACATGGCACGAGATGGTTCTTGTCACCACGTATGAGCACCAGTTCCTGAAAAAGACCCACAGGGAGGAAGCTCAGGTGCAGGGAGCACTGTGCCCAGGACTCCAGGAGGACGGACAGAGAGATCTGTGCCCTCTCCAGGGGCCCCGACTCCAGGCAGAGAGAACCCCAAGCTCAGTCCCCTGGGACCCTGGGGAGTCTGTGACTGGGACAGGCTCAGGGTGGATCCCCAGGGGTGGCTCTGCTGGGGGTGCTCAGGGGCCTGGGGGAGCCAGGGGACAGCACAGCGTCAGCTCTCCCTCCTCAGTCTCTCCCCCCAACCTCGGCCACCCTCTGCCACTTCCTGTCTCCCACTCGGGGCGGAAGCCTTTTGAGACATGCTTTGACACCTGCGAGACCCTCACCTACTCACTAGGAGGAACAGTTCCTGCCTGGGGTGAAGAGGGCGCGCTCCGGGGTCAGATGGACCTGAGTTCCAGCCGTGGACTGGGCCACCCAGGGATGCTCTGGACGCCCCAGACCCCAAGTCTTCCCATCTGTGAATGGCACTCRGAGGACAAGAATCTAAAATAACAAGGGGACAGCCTGGGGTGTGGCTCCTGRCACCCAGTGACCACAGTCAACGGAGGCTGCTCTCCGTGTAGGAGGTGGACGGACAGACAGCTCTCCTTGCCCCCAGAGGAAGCAGACTTGATAGGAGAGTGTAGTTTTCCCCCTGACTTTATGCATATATGTATTTACACATGTGCCTGTAAAAGCAAATATCTGTGTGGCTCTTTCTCTTTTTCTCCTTCATTTATTTATTTTGGTACTGRGGACTGAATGCAGGGGGCTTTACCACTGAGCTACGTCCCCCGGCCCTTTTTATTTTTTGAGATAAGGTCTTGCTGAGTTGTTGGACTCTAATTTGCGATCCTCCTGCCTCAGCCTCCTGAGTCCCGAGGATGACAGGCATGTGCCACTGTGCCCGGCTTCCCTCTTACTTTAACGGAAGTTCAGTTGCTGAATGACTAMATTTTTTGGCCTACGCTTGTTCCTGCTTCCCCCTGACAAGACGCAGGTTCTCAGGTCAGCACGCAGAGGCCTGGGGCTCTGTCACAGGGTATGGTTTTGTGCGTCTGGTGGTCTGGTTGCTATTAACAGCCTGTTTCCAGTTTTGTGCCATTCCCAATGAGGCRACACTAAGCACCTGTCACCTGGGCCATGGGACCTGGCCAAGGGCCCTGTCAAGCTCCTGCCATTGCAAAAGGCAAACTGAACTGTCCTTCTGCCGACTTTCCCGCCCCAGGACGCTTCTTTCTTCTGAACCGATTCTAGTGTGGCCTGGAGAGAGGAGGGGGCTTCCCCAGGGTCCCACAAACTAACATGACCAAGTCCTGGTCCTGGCTAAGGGCTTTTTCTTTCATGGACTGTGGGGCTGATGGGGGAGGGCTGGGCGGCAGTGGTGTGGATGCCTCTGTGGTGGCCGGGACATTCCAGGTGCTCAGCAGCCCTCGGCCCTGCACGGGGTCACAGGTCCTGTGTTCTTCTGCAGGGGCTGAGGAGGGGGGAGGGTTTCAGGTGACCTTTCCCAGCGCGGGTCCCCCACTCCACCAGACTGCCCTTCGTGGCCTTGAATCCAGGGTCAGCAGGTTCCCAGGCTGAGGACTTCACAGCGCCATGGATCGTGGCTCACAGAGATGTGGGGGGGACAGGGGAGCCGAGGCCTGGGACGGAGACGAGACCAGCCGGAGTCGAGACCAGCCGGGCCGTCCGCATCGCTGGGTTCAGAACTGGCTCCTCTGGCACCAGCTGGGATGGGGGCCGGTGTTTCCCCTCCCAGAGCTTTAGTTTCCCCTCTAAGATGGGGGGTGCCTTTCTGGCTCATCCCTGGAGGGCAGTGTAGTACTCTCAGCATACAGTAAGAGCTTACTATGTGCAGCGCGATGAGCTTTTAGCACTTTAGCATGCTGAGAAGTCAGTCCTCCAGGCTTGGAACACGGATTGTACCTCCTGGCTGTCACACAGAGGGGACCTGGGGAGAACCGAAGTGGGGGACCGTCCTCTCATACCAGAAGAGAGGGACAGGCATGAGTCACCAGCTGAATTCAGCCCGACAGGGGTCCAAAAGGCGGTGGCCTCCAGGGTGGGTGACATCAGGGCTGCTCGGGTGGGAGTGGAAAAAGACGGAGCTGACCCCACAGCTGGGCTGTGAAGGGAGGGGGTGGCAGATGGAGAATCCGATGTCCCCCCACAAAGGCCTGATGGGAGGAGCCATGACAGGGTGGGCAGCAAGTCCCCAGAGCTGGAGAGTCGGGGAGCCACCGAGGTGCACGGCCAGGTTCCCGTTCTGTGGTACTCCCCAGCCGGGCCGGGGACACACACCTGTAGTCCCAGCTCCTTCTCCAGAGGCTGAGGCAGAAGGGCCGCAGGAGCCCAGGTGTTGGGGACCAGCTGGGCATCACAGTGAGACCTGACCTGTCCCCGCGGCGGTGGTTTTGAGCCTAGGGGGTTCTGTCTGGAGGGTGGGGACATAAGAAAGTCTGGGAAATTGGTGAGAATCGCGGATCCTCCTCCCCAAGTGCAAAATACCTGGTGTACGTGTTCAGAGGGCACGGAAGATCCCTGGGGCCTGTGTGACCACCCCAGGCTGGCCCAGGGCTGCAGGGGCGAAGGGGACAGGGAGGGAGGGATGGAACAACCTGGGCAGAGGAAGCTGGGAGCTCCAGATACAGGAGGGGGCTCTGGGCACAGGGTGAAACTCCAGGCCAGGTGCATGCGCACATCCCCCGGTTCCCAGTCCCTGGACCAGGCGAGGGAGGGTGGGGCTGTGACTGCCCACAACTGCCCAGGCTGCCCTTTTATCCAAGGGGACCTAGAGAAACGATTCTTTTCTTCTTCCTTAACGAAAAGCTCCCCTATGAAGGYCCCGGCCTGCCTCCCTGGTTTCTTTCCCACAAGCTGGACTTTGCTTGAATCCCCTGCTTAGGTGACAGGAAGGTGGTGGCTGGCTGGGGGACCTTTTATTACAGGAGGGAACACTGAAGCCAGGTGGGGTTCAAGGTCAGTCGGTCACCTCCTCCAACTGGGGCCACCAATTACCACTCCCATCCCCAGCGCCCCCAGCACTAGCCCAAGCTCCCCATGGGGTCCTGCCGTAGGGTCCACTTTCCACGGCCGCAGGAAGCTTTTTGTAAAACATACACCTAATGCTGCTGCTGATCGCCATGGCATCTGAAGTCCACCATGGCTCCCCATTGCCTTCCAAGCCCCCCTGTCCACCCTTCATCTTTCACACTCCTGTCGTCCCTTCTAGCACCTCTGATCTTTTTTTTTTTTTTGTACCAGGGATTGAACTCAGGGGCACCCAACCACGGAGCCCCATCCCCAGCCCTATTTGGTATTTTATTTAGAGACAGGGTCTCACCAAGTTGCTTAGAGCCTCACTTTTGCGGAGGCTGGCTTTGAACTCGCGATCCTCCTGCCTCAGCCTCCCAAGCTGCTGGGATGACAGGTGTATGCCACCGCACCCAGCTGGTACCTCTGGTCTTTGCAAATGGGGATCCCTCTGCCTGCCAACTCCTATTCATCCTTCAGAACTCAGCCCAGAGGCCCAGGCTRGACTGTGTGTCTCCAAGGGCCCCCCTGGCCACTCAAAGCAGCCCTTAGCTTTCCCTCTCTGGCTGGAAGGAGGGCGTGGCCTGGGACCAGGTGAGGACGTGGAACAGTGCAAGGTGCTCAGGACAGCAGCCGAACGACTGAAGGACCCCGTCCTGAGGATTCCAGAAACGGGCATGATACCTGGACACCTGGCTTCTGTCCCTGCTGACCCCAAGGGCTTCCTTTCCTAGGGTTGTGATCAGCCATAAGCTGTCAGGGCTGGGCGGTGAGGTAGRGCCAGGGCAGGGGCTGGGAGGGAGAGCAGGTCCCCCCTGGGCCTGCCACTTCTGCCCACTCAGCACCTCCTGGGCCCCTAGAGGCCGCTGGGAAGGGAGAAAACAGGCCAGACCAGCTCAGCCTGGCACTGGCCACCCCCTCGAGGGTCCCCCCCACACCCGCCCTCCACTCCCTGCCACGAGGGGCCCCAGGGACTTTGTCTCCACCGGGCCCAGGACTGTGATCCGGAACAGTGATAGGGGCTAATTTCAGGAGGCAGCCAAGCGGGCCTGGGGCCAAGGGCCGTTATGAAAAGAGAGGAAAGGACGGAGACAGCGGGGGTGGGGTGGGGTGACGAGAGCCAGAACCCCACACTGGGGGCCAAGTTCCAGTCCTGGCTCTGCTGCTTCTTCAGTTGGTGACCTTGGACGAGGTCCTGACCCTCTCTGACCTTGCTCTGTCCATCTGCAAATGGGGACAGCAGCCTGGCCCGCGGCAGGGGAGGGTTCACGCTCAGCCCTGAGCTCAGYGCCCRCCRCTGTTGTTCATTCTTGTTCCTGGAYTGTGCTGCCCCAGGCAGACCTGGGCCCGTGCCCAGCAGCTGTGGTCCAGGGGCTTCCCCGGGGCTCAAGGACATGAGCACAGTACCTTTTTCACAAGGTTCTCCCCTTGACTGTGGGGGAGATTGTTGGGCTCTGCCTTGCACACAGAGAAGGCACCTGCCCGGTTACCCATGTGGCCACAGGGCTGGGATCTGAGCCCCGGAGAGGAGCTGGGGCCGATGGCCGATGCCATCCGATGCTCTTGACTCTCCCTGATACTAGGATTTGCCCAAAGGACCCAGGACTCCAGGGATTAGAGTTGTGGGCCAGGACACTGGTGACGATGACAGTGACAACTTGAACTCTAGGCCCACAGTGCTGACAGAAGTAGTTCAATGAAACGGGGATTTGGCTGGAAGGGGCCCCAGAGGGGCAGGAAGAAGCCCCATCAAGGATGGGRGGCTGCAGAGGCGTCTGTGAACTAAGGCAGTTCTGCATAGCTCCTGGGCACCCTGGTCTGGGGGTCTCAAAGTCTCACCAAATTCCTGGGACCAGGGGCGGCCCCTTGGATGCCTTCCCAGCCCCCCCTCCTCAGGCACAAAGCTTCTTTTCTGCCTTTGGTCCCTTGGCTGCCAAGGGGTGCTGGGGCCGCCTGGCTGGGGGTGGAAGGAGGGCAGATGGGGTATGATACCCTCAGGCTGTCTCCAGTAATGCTGGGACCCGGCTACAAGGCWCGGCCCTGGCAGCCAAGGACCATGACTCCTCCAGCACCAGGTCTCTACTCTACCTAACRTTGGTGACAGCAGGAACCACTGTATGAGAGGCTCCCGCTGCTCCCACAAGGGATTGCTCACTCTCAGGACACACCCCAAGGCTGGGGCATGAGGAACAGAAGGGGAAACTGAGACCCAGACCATGAAGTGATCCATGCTTTGTCATGCAGGAGTGGGTGACAGAGCCAGGAATAAAACCCCTAACTCCTAACCATGACCTATCCATTTTCCTAGTCCCCCAAGGTGACAAGCTCCCTCTCTCCCCCGGGAGGGCCTCTTTAGGCTTCTGTCTCCCTGTCTGAAAAACAGGAGGGTTACTATGACACTCAGGCCGATGTGACAGCCTCCTGGGAACAGATGGGGTGATAGTCCTCAGCAACAACCAGATACTTGTCTAGACCACTGGTGTCCTGTTCCAAACCCAGGAAAACCTAGGGGTGCAGAGCTCAGTCTGGAGGGCCTTGCGCTGGCCTGGCTGGAGGGGACGCTGGGCCTTAAGCTCCCTCAACCGTCATCCTGAGCCGGACACTGAGAATTCCAAGTTCATCAGCACTGTCATCTTAACATCTGGGACCCCCAGAGCTCACATCCCTGCTGGGCCTTGGCTTCCTCCTCTGTGAAACAGGGACCATACACAGTGTGTGTCCAGTGGYAGCTGGGAAATCTGGGGGCAACAGAGACAGGCCAGGTGCCCCCACCGAGCCAGGCATGGTTAGCCCGCGGTAGGTGGTGGTTGTGACATGCTGACACATGCCTGTCCCTGTCTCAGACAACTGCTCTTCTGGTCTCTGAATGCCTGGGACTCCTCCATCCTCCAGGCCTGCCCATGTCACCTACTTTTGCTAGCCCAGCAGGAGCCTGCTGGCCCCTGACCACTGGGAAAGGGGAATTTCTGAAAAGAATTAAAGAATTGAGGCCATAGGGGTTGGGGGCCGGGCTGGCCTTTGAATGGGATGAAAAGGCCTGGAGAGGCCTGGCTAGTCCACATTGTCTTCCTTGGACAACGGCAGCTGGCCCTCGAGCGGGGACCCGGGCAGGGGCAGGGGCTGCAGGCAGATCAGGGGCCGGCGCAGGTTCATTAAGGCCAAAAAGACAGCTTTGAATTGCCACTCTTCCATGAATAGCTCAGGAGCCTAGAAGATTATGTCAGTTCTCTGGCCTCAGTTTGGTCATCTGTTGGATGGGGACAGTTTTCCCTAGCTCCCTCAGTCCTTGCAGGATTAATGATGACACTATACAAAGGGCCCCACAGTGCCAGATACACGGAGATAGTCCATAAAGCAGGCAGAAAGAATGTTCCTGGCTTTGGGGGGCCGTTGAWGAGCTGCAGGAAGACAGACTGCTCTGTCCTGTCTCTGTCCAAAATGCCAGGTCCCCAGGGAGCCTCTGACACTGACCCACTGGGCTGAAACTCCACCCTAGTCCTTCCTCTAAGGGAAATAAATATCCCGGCACTAAAAAAAGCCAGGAGCAGGAGAAGAGGGAAGGGGGTCCTGAAGGGTTGGCCAAGGTGGGGGTGTCCTGGCTCTTTCCCATATGCCGGGGCTCGGGCGACACAAGTCCTGGGGGACCTCTTCTCCATCCCTGCTCCCTTGACCTCTCCTGTCGGGCTCTTGGGCTGCAAGGGAGTGAATGAGGACACTGAGGGCTCCAGACACTTGGGTAGGGGACCCCGCACTCCTGGGAGCCTCGGTCAGAGAGCTCAGATAACGGGGTGGCCCGGGTCCGTGCCCCCACTTCCCAGGCTGGCACTGAGGTGGGGAGCTCGGRGAGGGGGTCGCCTTCCGATCCCGGGATTGCACGGAAACGGGGATGTCCCCGCACTCCTGGCCCCCAAGCCGGGCTGGCAGTGCGCGGAGGGGGGAGCCCTTACCTGCGTCCAGAAAACGGGGCGCCCCCGACGCTCCACGCGGCGCCGCCTCCCGTGAGCAGGAGCCCGAGGCAGAGCAGCGCCCAGGCCCGCGGGCCGCCCATGCTGCGCCCRCCCGGCGCCCTCCGCGCGCGCTCCTCGCCGCCGCCCCCAGCCTGCGCCCCGGACGCGCCGAGCGGCTCCCAGCGCGGCGCGAGGGCGGCGCGCGCTCCCGGCCTCGCCCGCCCCTCGGCGCGGCCCCCCGCCCCCGGCGCCGCCCTCGCCGCCAACCCGGAAGGAGCCCCGGGGGCCGGCGCCGCCTCCAGGAGGCCCGCCGGTGCCCACCTGAGCCCGCGCACAGCGCCTGGCACCGCGTGGCCCTTTGGGGGGCGGGGCACTGTCGGGTTTACATTGGAAAACTGGGACCCGGCCACTGTCCCAGACGAGCCGGCACCCGAACCCACCGTGCCTGAGCTCATGATGTTGGGGACTCATCCTTCTCCACAGCTTTGCGGAATGCAAACCTAGGGACGCCCCCATCCTTCCAACAGAGGGTCCCAAGCAGCCTGTACCATTGCGTACTGGGCACCTTACCTCCACTGCCTCTCATCAGAGATGACGTTGAATCTTCAGATCACTCTGTGCGAGGTGGGTGCAGTTGTCCCCATTTTACAGGTGAGAAAACTGAGATCCAGACACTCCTTAGTCACCCTTGGTTGATCCCATGTGTACACTGACCTGCCCTCTCTTATTCCCACTTTACAGATGGGGAAACCGAGGCACGGAGAGGAGATGTTATCTACCCAACACACCCTGGCTGAATTATGACTTGAATCCAAATCTCCTGACCACGGAAGGTGTCTCCGCTCTTAATCACTATTCAGAAGACCCTGGACAGCACTTTGATCTGGGTTTTGCCATCTGTAACAGAGTAAGGATTGTCTTGCAGTGTGATTTTTTCCACCTGGGGACATAGTGGGCTTCTAGGGGTAAGGCTGTGTGTCCAGAAAAGGTGTATGCAAGTTTGTGAGTGTGTGCATGTATAATGTATGTTTGTGGACGTGGGCAGTCGACGTGTGCACAAGGGATGCATGTTTGTGTGCGAGTCTGGTGTGTGTGATCTGAGTGGGGATGGGCGGGGCTAGAGCTCTCACCATCAGAGGAGATCCAGAACCCCAACCTCCCAGGATACTCTCTACTACCGACCCCACCCACTGTCTGCATTGGCTTGTGCCAGGCAGTCTTGGACTGGTGAACCCCTTGCTTTTCTCAGCTGTGCACTGGGGGCCTGTTCTTGCTGCCACTATCCAGGTCCAAACTCTGTGCCAGAAAGGCTCTATCAGCCCACTCTGGTTCCTGGGGACTGCCTCAGTGGTGGGAGCACCGGGTTCTGGACCTGAGTCCCAGTGGCAGAGTTATCAYCCTTATGCTCACATGGAGGGCACCGATTCCCCGTCCTGGGAGGGGGCCAGTGGTAAGAGCTAGGTTCACAGGGAGTGGAGTAGTGGTACGTCTCTGTAATCCCACGGAGGCCGAGGCAGGAGGATTGCAAATTCAAGGCCAACCAGGCAATTTAGACCCTGGAAGGGAGGAAGGAACGAATGAACAAATGAATGAACCAAGGAGGAAAGACCAGGAGTGGGAGTGTAGCACAAGGGTAGAACGTTCGTCTGGTGCATGGGAGGCCCTGCTCTGCCATTCTGCCTAGGTTAGCGTGGGCAAGTCTTGCCCGTCTCTGAACCTCAGTTTCTCTTTTTAAGGAGGATAGTTACAGGTTTCTTACAGGGGTGTGGGCAGGATGGAGATGTCCCCTGCCTCACACAGTCTCCCCAGGGTTCCCCACTTCCAACAGCATCACCCCCGTGCCAGCTTTGCCCTGTTAGGCACCTGCTGTGTGCTGTCTCACTGATCCCARGAGCTGAAGCTCCGTCTTTGGTGAGCCCTGATTCTGATCCGGCTAGATCAGTGACTTCACCCCACCCCCCATGACTTGTCACTCTTGAGAGGTCATGTCCCTAGAGGATCCGTGACCTACTTAAGACCCCAGTCAAGTGGCCCGCAGCAAAGTCCATCACCCCAAGGGACACTCTGAAGAGTATGTGGCTGCTGAGAAAGGAAAGGCCACAGGCAGTGGCTTCTGTCCTGGGGTACCTGGAGGGACTGAGAGGTGTCTGAGACTCCGGTTGGTACCACAGCACGAGGAGGTGATTAACAACAGGCTGAGATGCCCAGCATTCCTTAACCAGCGTCACCAAACTTGTGGGAGGTTCTGGCTACTGTAGAAGATCCCTTTCCCAGTGAGGGACCCTCTCGGTAAAAGCTCTTTCAACATTTTAGCATCAAAGAGTGGCCTGCCCTGGCTAAGGCTGGGACCCTACCACACAGGCTTGGTGTCCCATAGTCCTAGGTCTCAATTCCAAAACAATCACTGAGGACTGTGTGACCTGAGACGAGTCACTTGCCCTCTCTGAGCCTCATTTCCTTGCTGGAAAAACCAGGGTACACCATAGAGTTTTTTCTTTTCTTCTTCTCCTTCTTTATGATCCTGGGGGTTAAACCCAAGGGTGCTCTACCCCTGAGCTACACCCCGCCCCTTGATTTTACTTTTTGAGACAGGGTCTTGCTAAGCTGCTGAGGCCAGCCTCAAACTTGCCACCCTCCTGCTTCAGCYGCCCCGGTCTCTGGATTGCAGGCCTGTGCCACCACATCCAACCCCATGGGGTCTTTTGGGATCCCCGTGGCTCAACAGTCCACACTCCTGGGAGAGTGTGAGAGCTTTGGGTCCCAGGACGCGGTGGAAGCACCTTGGAGAAGGGCTCACCCTCTGGGTGGAGGGCGGCTGCTCCTGGTCTCTCCTGGCGGAGGGGAAAGGCAGGAAATGCCGTGGGGCCTGGGCTTGGTTGTGGACGTTTCAGTGTTTGCTGAGACAAGGGAGGAGAGGGCTTGGTTGGCTTGAGGTCTGGGGCCTGCTTGTCCCTGCAGGCGGGGCCTCCCCCCTGGGGACCTGGCCCCCTCTGCTGCCAAGACCAAACCACAGCGGCCAGTAGCGACAGCAGCTTCCGTTCTGAGCGCTGACCTTGTGCCAGGCGCTGCACTAAGCATTTTGCTTGCACTGCCTCTTGTCCTCCTCTCTGCCACCCGGGTGGCAGTTATTGTCCCCAGGTGTGGAATTCAGGGGTCAAGGGGTTCTCTTGAAGCCCATGGCTCATGGGTGACTGGCATGCGCCTAAGCGCTACCCATGAGGCTTCACTGCCACCCTCTGGCTGAGCCCCACTGGGGGGCTTCTTTGGGGTATGAGAGAACGTGGCTCTGATTTGGGCTCCAGCACATGGACGTGGGCACGGACCTGGACCCACACACTGTGGACCACACAGAGACGCACACATGTGTCCCCACAGCAGGCTGTCGTGGGGTCTGGGAAGCAGGCTTCGGGTACAGATCGCTGACCCCTGCACCCAGCCTAGTCCAAACAGGAAATGCTTCTCCCCCCAACACAGCAGCCTGGCCGAGGCCTCCTTCCCTAGTGACTCCCTCCGTCCTGTCTCCTCCCACCCTGTCCCACTGGACACCTCCCCGGTGGGGGTGCCCTGGATGGCCAGTGCTGCTCACCCCCAGCTCCTGTGCCCAGGTGACCCCTACCTACACCTGCCCAGTCTAGAGGTGAGCCGCAGCCCCAGGGGCCCAGGCCTGATGGCTGGGGCGGCCCTGGACACCCTGGACACCCCAGCAGTCTTCAGAGGCTCCTCAGACAAAGGCAGGGCCTCCCTGCCCCTGCCTCCAGGTTAGGGAACAGTGGCTGCTCTCTGGGCCTTTGATCAGGGGTTGGCCCTGCTGCCCCTCCACTCAGAGCAGGAGACACCCGCTGGGGCAGGGCCGCCGGGGGGGACTGGGGCCTGCAGCTGCCTGGCAGCATTATTTCTGCTCCGTGGCTCTGCCCTGCTCACCCAGCTCCCTCGGTCCCGGCAGCTCGGAAGGGGGCTGGAAGGGAGCGAGGGGAGGAAGGAAGCTGTCGGAAAGCCGTAAATTAGGGCTCGCAGGGCCTCCCCGCCCCCCTCAGGAATTYCTGGGAGGACAGTTGTGAGTCTTTGGGGTGGTGGTGGGGTCAGGCACAATCAAACGTGGCAGGACAGGGTGCCTAGGCGTGGAATTAGGTGACCTGGATGTTTGTGTCATCTAGAGAGAGTCCTTTTTCTCTGAGCCTCAGTTTCCCCATCTGGATAATGCTMAGAGGACTTGATGATTTTTTGTGGGGGGTACTGGGTATTAACTCAGGGGCACTTGACCYCTGAGCCACATCCCCAGCCCTGTTTTTTATTTTTTTTAAAGACAGGGTCTTGCTGAGTTGCTTAGGGACTCACCATGGCTGAGGCTGGCTTTGAACTCGAAATCCTCCTGCCTCAGCCTCCCAAGCCGCTGGGATGACAGGCRTGAGCTACCATGCCTGGCTACTAGGACTTGGGGACTTTAATATGACTCTGCTCTCTTGCCTGTGAAGGGATGAGAAAAGAGAGGTCTTCTTAGCAATGTTTGTTCCCACTTCTCTTCCTTGGGTACTTTCTCCCAAATCCTTCCCTCTGATCTCTATCCCCCGGCACCCCTGCACCACCAGGCCTCTCTGGGGTCCTTTATTCTGCTTCTCTTTCTAYAACTTTCCTGAAAAAATGAACTAGTGAGGTCTCTGGCAGCATCCATCTAGCGAGGGTGTACAGGGAGGAGCTGTTGGTTCATTCATACTAAAGTGTGAATGACTGATGTGTTGGTGTTGTTTATAGTCGGGAGGAGGGGTGATAACAGAGATTCCTCCCCCTTGAAACCCTAAATTGCTGGTGGTACACTTTCAGGCTGGTGTGTGGGGGGTGACCATCTCCCAGACTCAGTGAATTGAAGGCCATTGCCCACTGGATGTGTCTGGAGTGGGGACCACGAGTTCCTGAGATCAGATGGATCTGGAAGGGGGGTGGAGAGACAGAGAGGGAAGAAGAGACGCAGAAAGAGGGGTACTTTGGGGAGAGGACCCCAGTGTTGATCTTTTGTTCCCCTGAGAACCGGGGAAGAAGGGCAGAACCAGGGTGCCCGCCAAGCACCATCCACACACGACACAGGCTCYGGCCTCGCCGGGATCCC